GAGAGAGAGAGAGAGAGAGCATGAACGGGGGAGGGTCAGAGAGAGAGGGAGACACAGAATCTGAAGCAGGCCCCAGGCTCTGAGCTGTCAGCACATTGCGTGACACAGAGCCCGAACCCACGAACCGTGAGATCATGACCTGAGCTGAAGTCGGACGCTTAACCGACAGAGCCACCCAGGCACCCCTTGCTTTTCTTCAAAAACTCAGAATGTTACAATAGAGCTTAGGCCACACAGCAGACTGCTTTTCCCAAAGGTGGCAGGAGACTGTCTCCCTCATCCCACATGTGCTCTTTGAACGCGGAGATCTTGGCACTCCTCCCATTGGGTGGTGGGGGTCTGCCTCTCCACATGACCCTGGGCGCAGCTCTGTGGCTGCCTTCGCCCCTAAACTTTGGGGACAGTGATGCCAGGTGACTTCCATCTTGCTGCCTTGAATCACCTGCTTTTGGGAGCCAGCCAGCACGTTTCGAGGTGGAAAGGAGCCCAGGCGGAGTCCACGTGGAGAGGCCACATGTAGGGTGTAGCTGAGACCCCAGCCAACAACCAGTATTGGATGTGCAAGTCGAAACCCCTTCAGAATCTCCTGGGACATCAGCCTTTGAGCCGTCCCACTGCAGGCCGCAGACGCCGCCATGTGGAGCACACAAGCCAGCCCCACTGGGCCCCACCGGAATTTCCAACCCACAAAATCTATGATTGGAAGAAATGGCTGCTTCACACCACCAAGCTTTGGAGAGTTTTGTTACACGGCAGTGGGGACTGACACAGCCCTGCCCCTGGTCCCGGGGCCCCATTTCCCCAAAAGTGAACATATTAGGAGCTTGGTGGGTCCCACTATGCTTTTACATTTATTAGTAATTTTAGAAAATATGTAGTGCTGTCTTTAAAATGTACATAAATATGTTACATGTAATATTTTACAACTTGCTTCATTCATTCAAGTCACAGCAGCCCTAGCAGACAGGTATTACTATGGCCCCGTTTTACAGACAAGAATCCGAGGCCCAGAGAGGTTGAGTAATGTGCCTGGAGTCATGGAGCTTGTGGGAAGAGGAGCCAGGATTTGAACCCACAAGTGCACTTCCCAGAAGCTGCCCTAGAGGTTCCCACTGCAAGTTATTTGCCACATTTCCCTCAACTGCGGCCTGTGAGTGTACATTTATGTT